CTGTCCTCCATGGGTCCTCTTACCATGACGGAGTTGAGAGAAGAGGACTCGCTTCAGTAGATGTATAGCGTATTCAACCGCAGTAGAAATGAGCAAAGAGCTGTTTTTGAGTCCCCAAGTGTACAGTACTGGGATAGGGAAACATGTGGAAAAACCAAGTCTTAAACAGTTAGGTTTTGAAATCTGGCTCAAGATGCAATGCAGATCTTGTCTGTTCTTGAGTTCATTTGATTGTAGCAGATGCATCACTTATAAATATGGTCAAAAACCTGAGAAAAGACTAGACCTTTGGGGGAATACATTTATCTGGATTCTCTGTGTACTTAGCTTATGGCCTAGCATCATACAGAACTGTCTTGTTGTGAAATGTCAATTCATTGCTATAACAACTCGGCAAAGTAAGCTCTTTGCCACCTTGGCCAGCAGAACAGTGTGCCAGATTGAATCATATGCTTTTAAGTCAAGAATCATACTGCCAGTCTTCCCTTATTAGAAGCCATTGTCTATATTAGTGGTAACAGATGCACTTGGAACAAAGCTCTTGGCTCTTAGTTCCACTGTAGGCATGATCCTTTGCAGAATTAACTGCTCTCATCTGTTTAAAAGCACAGCACAGAAGTGATATTAAATGCTAGCTATCTAGAAGGAAGTGAACATTTCCTGGCTTCAGTATAGCTATCACCCTAACCTTCTGCTAGACCTTTAAAGCATCTTGTTCTCCTGGGGCAAAGGCAGCAGAGCGGAGAGCCCCAAGCCCACAGCGGGCAGCCTGCATCCATGGTAGCAAATCTGATGTTACCTGAAAGCTTATCAATGGAAGCTAGTTTCTTTAAGAAATCTGTGGTATCTTTCAAATAGCTAGCTCTCTCATAACATGCAGAAATAAGATTGAGTCATAGTAGCCAAAAACTCCATCCATGGTGGTTCCAGTGCAGAAACAATACCAGAAGGCTGAGCGTAAGCAGCTGCAACATTGTTAGGCACAATTTGCATGAAATATATGGCAGAGCCATAAACTCTAGTATATTGATGTGGAGGGCCTAGTAACTATTTTACTTTAAGTAAAAGCTGCAAATGTTTAACATGCTGTGGAAGCCTGGAACACCTGAACTTTAACACTTTAACTTCCATCCCCCATGAGGATGGATTACAAGCCAAAAAGAACATTATCCTTGATGAGGACCCTGATTCTGTTCCCATCGCACTCTCCTGTTTTGTCCTCACTTGCAACTGTTTCAGATCTGGGAACTCGCTATACCTACAGATGAAAGGCACTGGGATAGGCACATGTATGCCCCTACTCTGCCAATATATTTATGACAGCTTGCTTCCTCTGCAGCTGTCCTCTCAAAAGTTGCAGGTGAGGTGTATTACTGGATGCCTTAAGCCAACAGGTGTCTCCATCTACCTGCCAGAATTGTCCCAGACTTCAGGAGAGCAGTAGAAAGCACCTGGCAGATCAAAGAGTCACTCACTGCGTGGCCACGTTGCGACTCCAAGTAGACTAAAATCACAGAAAAGTTTCTTCTCTACGATGCAGCCACTAGATGAAATACCAACAGCCACACAAGTAAAAATGTGGCACTCATGATTAGAAATGACCCAGGAGGGAGTTGGGATAAATATCAAACTGTTGAACATCTCCCTGCAGGTGCAGAGCTTGACTGGCCAGCATGGCGAATCTTGAACTCCAAACCAGGAGTCAGTAAAACTAAAGTTAACATGCAGCTTGGGGAATACTGTAACACAAACACCACGTGCAAATAGGGAAGAAACTTCCAGATTGCAAAATACCTACTGGCCTGCCCACATATAGGGGAACCATGTACCAACAAGGACCTTGCTAAGGCTAGCGATTGAACGATAGTGTGTGCCCGTTTCTGGACCCAAATTTGAACATGGTGACACATGAAAAGAAAAAGACCTAAGGTACACTGATGACATCTTCATTCCATGGATGCATGGGAAGGAATCTCTAGAGAAATTCTACCAGGACTTTAACAACTTCCACCCCTCCATCAAGCTGACCCTGGAACATTCCTCCCAGCAAATCCGTTTCTCGGACACCACTGTGAAAGTTTGCTACCACAGACCATTTCAGCTACTTGCATGCTAGCAGCTCTTATCCTAAGCATGTCACTAGGTCTGTTGTCTATAGTCAAGTTCTACATTACAACTATATTTGCTCTGATCTCACTGACCAGGATGCAGTCGTTAAAGATCTGGAGCAGAGGATTTCTAAAATTATAATACAATCCTAAAACTATAGCCACTCAAATCAGCAGACTCACACTCTCTGCACCAACCTACTATGACACCAAATGCCAGACAAGGACAGCAGAATCCCTTTGATTGTCACCTACAGCCCCCAGCTTGAACACCTCAGACAGATTAATGACCCCAAGCCCCTCCTGAAAAATGATAACCATTTCAAGGTAGTCATGGGAGACAAAACTACCTTGGGTTATAGGCAGCCAGCCGCTCTCAAATGGCATCTCTCCACAACAGACTACCAAACTCCTATTCTCAGGTCATCACACTAGTCCCTGCTGTGGACAAAAAGGCAGACAAGCCTGTGACAGGACACTTGAACCCCTCTGGACATTGCACTGCAGACCCCAGAGTGCCTGTTCTTAGACAACAAAACTGTAATAATGTATTTGAATGGGAAATCATGGGCCAAGAAATCATCCACACACTGAATTGCATTAAGTATGGTCTAAACTGAGACAACAGATTCTTATCTGTTTATCTGGATTAGCTTTTTTTAAACCCAGTGCCCACCCCCCATCCCCCCAATGGGTTAACTTTATTTTTATTGTGCATACTCACCTTCCCCCTCTCTCTGTGGTGCCCTCCTTTTCCCTCATCCTTTCCCTCCCCCTTGTGTGCTTTTCACTGCTTTCTGTTCAGCAGCTCTGCTTCCTGCAATCCCTTCACAGCATCTGATTAAGTAAGCCCTTTACTTTTGAAAGCTTGTACTATGTGGAAAGGCTTATATTTATGAGGAGAGACTGAGGGAACTGGGTTTATTTAGTCTGCAGAACAGAAGACTGAGAGGGGATTTTGATAGCCTTGAACTACCTGCAGGGGGTTCAAAAGAGGATGGAGCTGGACTGTGCTCAATGGCGGCAGATGACAGAACAAGGAGCAATGGGCTCAAGTTGCAGCAAGGGAAGTTTAGGTTAGATATTAGGAAAAACTTTCTTACTAGGAGGGCAGTAAAATACTGCAAGAGGTTACCCAGAGAGGTTGTGGACTTTCCATCCTTGGAGGTTTTTAAGGCCCAGCTAGACAAAGGCTTGACTGGGATGATCTAGTTGGGATGGTTCTGCCTTGAGCAGGGGGCTGGGCTAGATGACCTCTTGAGGTCCCTTCCATCCCTGTTTTTCTATGATTCTGTGATATGTCTCTGATTTAGTTAGTTTATAAAGGTGTAGATCTACCCTGCTTTCTTCCCATATTCCTGAACAGGGGTTGGCAACCCATGGCCCATAGGGCAGTCCTAGCCCATGAACAGGTTTGATCTGGCCATAGAGGTCCAGTCTGACACAGGAGATTGGTCTCAGAGCTGTGCCGTGTCGCCTCCATTTTACAGTGCTCCCCTCTGCTGCTCTGCAGCATCTGAGTTTACCCTTGCTGCAGAGGAGCTGAAAATCCAGCATCCAGCTCCTCGGAAAGGGCTGAGACTTCCAGGCTTCAGCAGCATCTGGGTTATAAGCTCCACCCTCTGCTGGCAACAGGCTTTGACCTCTGTTCTTGGAGACCAGTAACATCAATGCTCGTAGGTTGTGAGCCTCTGCATTATGGAGTGTTTTTGTAGTTGAGAGCCCCTCAACTTTGAGTTGAAGAATAAACGCATCAAATATCACTCCAGTATGATGCTAATCGCATTGTAGATTGTTCAGATTTGGACTGCTGTTTCCTGTTTGGTTTCCCTTTAAGTGGCATGTATAGGGTGACGGGGCTGTTTGGGTAAATCTGATATCTTTTATTAGATTAGACCAACTAATGTACAGGGCGAATGATTAGGAATGTGGTAGCATTCTCTCCCTTGCCCAGAGGGGAAAACTTGAAAGGGCTTCCTCTGCTTTTTTCACTTATCAGATGGACATCTTTCATGAATACTAACAATCAGTTTCCTTTATTGAGTACTTTTGTAAAGTTAAACTGATTACCTGTGTCAGCTGGTCACAGTGTGCACAGGTTTCTTGGAACTTTTTGATAAAAGAGCCAGCAATTACAACCAAAGTGTAAAACTGAGAAAAGAAAATTATTCTGACTGACTTGAAGGCTGTGAAAATATGTATTCATTTTCTGGCAGCAGAACTGGCCAGCCTGTTAGACATCTTAATCGGGTTAAGATAGGTTACAGTTTTAAACCAGTAATTTGTGTAATTATTATGTAGAATTTAAAAAATACCAA